CGAAGGTGGTGGTATCGCTGAGGTTGCACTCACCGAGAATTCAGCTTGGTACATCACGAAATCCGGAGAGGTGAGGCGTTTTTGTTTCCATCCATACTGGATCCATTTCATCTAAACGATTTCCTGATTTTTTGATTCTTCCGGTTATTTCATTCCTTGTTAATATACCTTTCCATTTTAATAGGCAGCATGCTCTCTGTGGCCTATTGTATAAGTTCAATTTCAGGTTTATGTACAGTTACGGTTGCCAGAAATGGGAATTTTGAGTAGATGTGAAACATCATGGCTTTTGCATTCAATCACTGCAAGCGAAGTGGCAGTCTGGGCACTTCAGCGTGAAACAAATCGACTGGTTGTTCGTGCTGGCTTGAAACACAGCCCCGTTGGATTGGATTGGGTGGAAGTTGTGTATGTTCGTTGTAGCACATTTCTGGATGAATGAGTAATCGATTGCGTGCGAGTTTTGTTCGATTCTTCAAAAATTGATGCTTCGATTGAATCCAAACTGCAGCAGCTCCGAGTATTACTACCCAGCGCTTTATTTCAGGCCTTTTGGCCCTGAACGCATAATAAGCGTTTGTGTGCACAAAGAGAGTGGTTGGGCAATTGACGAGAAGCGTTCGTTATGGTTTACAAATGGCGTTAGTTTTCAGAGCCCATTTGGTTCATCAGGAAGCTGGTTGAAGGTATGTTACGATTTTTAAATGCATTTATGAACTTATAATGTCTGAACTTTATGAACTTATAATAACTTATAATGTCCTTTTGCACCCGTTATGCGTTTCATATTTATTCAAAAAATCATAAATGTTATCACACACGAATTTAGCTCTCGCCCGTAATTGGAAGAGGAAGGAGGGGGAGGAGGTTTAACGGGCACGTACAATTTTGTAGCTCTGAAGCATATTATAAATGTTGTTGCATAGTGTTTGCTTAGCTTGACAAAAATAAATAGTTGAAATTTGCCCACCTTTCTGTCCCCACTTGCTGTTTTTCATGTTTTCACGCAAATTTTGCTTGACACCACCTCCATGTATCGAATTTTTCTTACGTGCCATGATACTTTACCCGAATGAACTTTTGCTGTGTTTAGGCTTACAATCCCTGGGATATTTCACCGGACATCGGTCGTTTGCGATCATTGCCGTGGACTATTCGTGCATCTTCAGCAGGTGTTTTTGTTTGTGTTGACCACAAGTGCTATTGGTCATCGAGCACGAGCACCCTTTCTGGACATCGCATGGATCATGTTGTTCCAGATAAATTAACAATCGATGACAATTTTGAATTAATTTCTGGCGGGAATTTGAGCAACAAAATTGACGGTAAATTTTTTCAAGCAAAATAGAACTTCATTTTTTAATTATTTCAGTATTAGGGGGTTTTTTTTTTAAAACCTTTACTTTTGCTAGTTGCTTTTTCAGATGTTTTAACACTGTGCCGAGCCAATGAAATATTTCTCTATCGCTTAAAAAATAGTTATTTTTATTCGCTGCCGGCATATCCAGCCTCCTACAGCTCGGATGTTAGTCTTTCTCTCATCCATCTGCTAATTTTTGCTCAGTCTTTTGTTGACCCTGTTTTTACCCGTAATTTTCCAGGTGCTTGAAATTGCCTCTTATGACGGGTCAGTGTACATATTGGATAGTTCTGGTTGTATATATGTAAAAGAACAC